TGCTGAGCTTTTTCTACAAAAAAAGCACTGTTTGAAATTATTATCAGATAAAGGTCTTTACTAAAGATATATTACTGACGACATTAATTGTTGTGGTAATAACATTTCCAGGGTGTATATGCTTTTTTGTCTTGTTTAACCACCGGGAGGTTGGCAACCCTACTGCGCAGCCCTTCGCGAGAGTTCCCGCCCCGCCCGCGCTCTGCCCGATGCCGGGGGCCCTTTAAGGCCGGCTCCGCCCCCTCCCCGCGCCACGGGTCTTGCGGGATCCAGGCCGGAGGGAGGCGGAGTCTTCGCGCTGTGCTCCCCGCTGGCGCCCCGGCTGCCGCCATTGCAGGGCAGCGGGCGCCCCATCCCCACTCCCCCGGGAGGCCGGTTGGGGAAGGCAGGGCGAGGCCTCGGTGGGCAGGCCGGGCGGGCGACCCGGGCTCTGGGGCAGGAGGAGGAGGAGGCGAGGCCTTGCGAGCCTGGTGAGTGGCTTGGTTATGGGCGGCTTCCGCAGCCAGGCTGCCTGGGCGGCCCGTCGGGCGTGGGAAGTGCCCAGGCGGCGGAGGGGGACGACGTGGTTCCCATCCAGGGGTTGCGCTCTGCGCGCACGCTGGAGGGTGGGATTGGCTCGGCTGCAGTGCGTGGCTCAGGCTCAGCCCCCTCCCCGGGACTGGCTTTTCAGTCCCTTCGTGCCAGGAGGACGACGGAGCCGATCCCAGGGAGCGCTGGCGAGCATGTAGAGAGTTGCCCTTCGCTCCCGCCCCGGGGGCGGGCGCGCTCAGAAAGCCAGCTCGCGTTTGGCACTTGGGGGTTTGCGCTTGGGGCGTGTTCCTCTTGGCCAGGGAGCCCCAGTGGGTTAGTCGTGGCTGCGCCGTCGGGGCATGACTGGGGAGGGGCCAAGGCCAAAATTTACCCCCGGGAAACCCCCCCCCCCCTGCAATCGTCTGTGAAGTTCACTCTCAATGCCTTGGAAGCATTCTCTTTATTTAGGTGCTTTTTGGAAAAAACAACAAAAAAGCCCACCCCTTCCCTCCAGGAGTTTAGAATAGCTTGTGTGGATCTCATCCGGTTTATCCTCCCTGCAGCCCTTTGAGGTAGGCTGGATCCCGAGAGAAGGGCTGGCCCGAGAACACCAAATAAGGTGAATTGCAAACAGGGACTTGGACTTGGCTCTACTTGGTCCTAGTCTGACAGCTAAGACTTTTTGTCTGCCTTTTTGTCTTTCAGCCTAGGCTACCTAACTGGGTTATTGTGAAGATAAAACACAGGAGAGGAGACCCAGTTACTGCGCGGGGGGGGGCTCCCTAGAAGAAAGATGGGATAGAAAATGTAGTCGATGTCACTTCTCCCACGTTCCTTAGGAAACTGCCTGCTGGCCTAAGGCATCGTGGTTATTCTGGATTAATCCATGGATGAATTGTGGAGCACTGCTCCACAGCTGGGGAAGCCAGTGCCAATTTCTGCCTCCCCCATCGGTCTGTGGGTTCCCCTATCGCCTTTTGGAAATCTGCCCTGTTGTGGGTTGGAGGAGAAACCTGTCAGGCCAGATTGCCTTACCCAATGGGTTTAAAAAAAAAAAAAAAAGGAGAAGGGAGTTTTGGGCTGGCTGGGAAAGCAGCAGCGCTTCTCAATCCCAACGATCCTGCGTTGGCTTCTTCTCTGCGCAGGGTGACGGTGGGTCCGGGCGCAGCCTTCCTCCCGCCACGCCCACGATGGCCATGAGGGACCTGGTGGAAGCGGAGTGTGGGGGCTCCAACCCCCTGATGAAACTAGCCGGCCACTTCACGCAAGACAAAGGCCTGCAGCAGGAGGGGCTCCGGGGGCCTCTAGCCTGGCCTCCCACGGCTCCAGCACCAGAGGGGGTAAGTGGAACTAGGCCGGGAAGCACTGGCCCGATGATAATAGGTGGTGGTGATTCCAGAGGGGGTGTGCCGTTTGCCACTGCCCTTCGGTAGTTACCTCAGGATGGCATGACGCAGGGAACTGCCGGAGACTGAACCGGACCGTCGGTTCTTCAGGGTCAGTCCTGTCCAATGCTCCCTCTAAGCTGTGGAGTCTTGTGAGCAAAAATCCTACTTTGTGAGCTCCTGGCATTAAAGTTGTGAGCGAGCAAGTTGGCTACTGCGTAAACTAGTTTGCTCTGGAGCCCTCCTTCCTGAGCTGAGACAAAAATCTGTGAGCTGGAGGCTAAAAAGCTGTGAGCTAGCTCGCACCAACTCAGCTTAGAGGGAACACTGGTCCTGTCTACTGACTAGTAGTGGGGCTCCAGCGTCTCCGGTGAAGGACCTTTCACATGGCCTGCTTTTTCCTTTTCTCCTGTCAAAGCGCAGCTGCTTTATGGCATCCCCCACGGGGGTTTTTCAAGGCAAGAGATGTTCAGAGGGGGTTTGCCATTGCCTGCCTCTGTATAGCAACCCTGGGCTTCCTGGGAGGTCTCCCATCCAAATATTGACCGGGGCTGACTCTGCTTAGCTTTTGAGATCTGACCAAATTAGGCCAGGTCAGGGTACATTGCCTACTACCTGGCTCTTTTTTTAAATGGAGATGCCAGGGATTGAACCTGGGACCTTCTCTGTGCCAAGCAGATGGTCGAAACTGGAGCCACACCGTGAGAGTTATACTGAGCATTGTATCTGTTTTTGTATTTTTCTGGAGCTTTGGTTTAAGAGCAGAACTAGCCAGCTGCGTGCTGGAGTGGGGCGTTCTCTTCCAGCCTGCTGGGGCCCTCCCCACACAAAAAGCCAAGGGCGTAGCCACCGAGGGCCTGTGGGACATGGTTTTGTTCTGAGTGGCGTGTCCTGCTTCCCTGCCACGAAAGGTGGGCAGGGCCGAAGCACCGTTGCAGTTCTGTATATTCCTTCTGAACCTGTGGTGGCTCTCCTGGGGCATAGTGGAAAGGCAGCCCTGGGATTCCTGCAGAGATGCTCAGGGGCCAGCGCTGTGTACGAGAGGAGCTGCACATCTGGATCGGTGGTGCTTCTGACCTGGCAGGCCGACTTGCTGAGCTCAAGCGGAGGGGCCCCAGAGATTGTCCCTTGTAGCGCTGGGAAGGGTGCCTGCCCACTTAGCCTGGGTGAGCACTGCTGCTGGAGCTTCCCTGGCCAAGATATTCAGGGGTGGGGTGGGTGTGTGGTGATGTCCTGGTGGGGGGGGAGAGATTTAGGGTTGTTCTATTTTAACTGGAAAAATGTCTCACTATCCGTGTAAGCTGCCTTGAACCGTGAGAAAAGGAGGGATAGGAATGTTTTAGTCACCAAGTGGTAGGAGGTGGGGTTTTAGCCCAAGGGCCTCCCTTCTTCTCCCTTCCTAGTCTGACAAAGTTAGCAGTTTCTCATTTTAGGAAACGGGTACCTTTTTGTACTGAGGGCTGGGGGGGAGGGGGAGCGGCCAGGTTTGAAAGCAGGGCAAAAGATTTCTGTGCGTCTTTGGGCCCAAAGTAAAATCTTTGGTTATGACCCCCTTGCAAAGGTCGTTTCTCCCCCCCCCCCCTCACATGCAACCTGATCCTTTTAACTAGAGAGGCCAGGGATTGAACCCTGGACCTTCTGCAAGCCGTTCCCTGACACACACACACACACACACTCCCGTTCTGCTGTGTACATTGGGGGGGGGCATGGTGTTGCACAATAGGCAAGAAAGATAATCGTGTGATTTGGGCTGTTGCAGATATGGCAGGATGGGGAGGTGGAGGAGATGTGCGAGAGCAATTTCAGGCAGGGTGGAGGGGCACGGGGAACCAAAAGTGCACGTCAACTGTCTCTCTGTCCTTTTGGGATGGCTGTCCTCACGTCTGCTAACAGTCCTTTCCTCTTCTGCAGGTGTCCAAACCTCTTGGAAGAGCATCAGAGGATGACGTAAGATTGCGTTTGCTCTTTTGGTCTTCTTCCCTCCCTTTGACATATTCTGTATTGACTCTGTATTGACTCCTACTGCCACCTCGTGTGTGTAGTGCAGTTCTGGTTACCACACTTTAAAAAGGATATTATAGCTTGGGAAAAAGTGCAGAAAAGGGCAACTCAAATGATAAAAGGGTTGGGACACTTTCCCTATGAGGAAAGGTTAAAGCGCTTAGGGCTCTTTAGCTTGGAGAAACAACGACTGAGGGGGAGACATGATTGAGGTTTATAAGATTATGCATGGGATAGAGCAGGTAGAGAAAGAGGTACTTTTCTCCCTGTCTCACAATACAAGAACTCGTGGGCACTCAATGAAATTGCTGAGCAGTTGGGTTAGAATGGATAAAAGGAAGTACTTCTTCACCCAAGGAGTGATTAACACATGGAATTCACTGCCACAGGAGGTGGTGGCGGCTACAAGCGTGGTCAGCTTCAAAAGTGAATTAGATACGGAGCAGAGGTCCATCAGTGGCTATTAGCCACAAGGTATAGATAGGGGCTCTGGGGCAAGTGATGCTCTGTCTTCTTGGTGCTTGGGGGAGGGGGGTCAACAGTGGGAGGGTTTCTAATGTCCTGGCCCCACTGGTGGACCTCCTGATGGCACTGGTATTTCTGGCCAATGTGTGACACAGAGTGTTGGACTGGATGGGCCTTTGGCCTGATCCAACATTGGCGTCTCTTATGTTCTTATGCCTCCTTTCTATCTCTCTCTTGAATCTTACTGAAGATGTTTCGGGATCTATTAACATCTAGGCTGATCCCTGTGGCAAATTGGCTGTGATGACTGGTTGATTCTTTGCTGGTAAAGTCCCTTTCATCCAATTGGATGACAGCTTAAAAGTAGATCCTGTGACCTGTTTTAGTCATAAGCATTTACTTGTTCAGGGATAGTCTTGGATTGATCCCCTTGGCTGAAGTGAGGGTTCTTCAGGTTGTGAAGGGCGACTTGCTAATTGGATCCTTGTCCATCTTGGCTGATTAAGAAGCGAGGCTGCCTTTGGCTAAAGTTTTGAATATGTTGTTGGGGTTGGGAATTTTCCCTCGATCCTTGGAGGAAGCTGTTGTTAGACAATTGCTAAAGATACTGGCTTTAGCAAAAGAAGAAGGCCAGTTCTTACTTTTCCTTTCCTGACAAGTAATTGAGTGAGTGGTGACAGAGCAAATAAAGATACTCCTGAAAGGCACATCTACCGTTGATACTGTTCCACCTGGCTTGGGGGCTGAGACAGCTTTAGTTGCTCTGGTGGATGATCTCTGCTTACCAGTCGCTAAGGAAAATGTACCTTTTGGGATTATCCTCAGACTTCCTGCATCTTTTGACACAGTAGATTGTGAGAGCACCAGAGGTACTACACTGGATCAGACCAGTGGTCCCACCTAGTCCAGCGTCCTGTTTCATCCAGCGTCTGACCAATTGCCCTGGAGCTTTCAGAACACTGTGTGAGGGTAACGGAGAGAACAGCACTTCCCTAGTTTTGACCCTTTTTGTGTGATAAGAGTCAAAGAGTTTCCATCAGGAATGAGCAGTTGGTTAGTTGGCTAGGATTTTAACTGTGGAGTTCAATAGGATTAAATGTTCTTCAGTATTTATGCCAGACCAGTGATTGAGGTCATGCACAGCTTTGCAGCTAAGTGTTATCAATATGCTGGTGATAACCAGTTTCTTACGTAGGTATATGAATTTAGAACTAAGCTTCCAGAAGTTGCCATTTACATGTTCTGAACAAAGAGTGTCTGGAATAAACTGAAATTAAATCCAGACAAGGCGGAAGTGATGTTGGTTGAATGGCCCCTGTGCTGAGTGGGGTGGATTTGCCGAGTCTGGATTGGATCTCACTTGCGGAGTACCTGCTCTTTTTGTAGCAGGTACTCATTTGCGTATTAAGCAACACAGCCCTAATGTAGCCAATCCTCCAAGAGCTTACAGTAGCTCCTGTAAGAAGAGCTCTGTAAGCTCTTGGAGGATTGGCTACATTAGGGTGTGTGGCCTAATATGCAAAGGAGTTCCTGCTACAAAAAGAGCCCTGTCAGGTGCTTGAGGACTGTGCTGGTTGGTGCTGTTGCTAGGAGTGCCACACAGATCTATCCATCCTCTAGACTTGATTGCTGTAACATGCTTGACATGGGGCTGCCCTTGGTGAAAGCACCGAAGCTTCAGGTTGTGGCATGGGCAGGCCTTTTGCCTAGGGCAACCCATTGTGAACATATTGCACATGTTGTGAGATTATCGTTTTGCTTCCGGGTTCAGGTCAGGCTTGCTGGTTCTTCAATTCAAAGATATATGAGCCCGTGAGCCACTGCATTCACCTCTCCAACATCTTCCTTTTGTGGCCTCTTTTCAAGAGGTGCCAGTTTGGTGCAGTGGTTAAGTGCGCGGACTCTAATCTGGGAGAACCGGGTTTGATTCCCCACTCCTCCACTTGCACCTGGCTGGATGACCTTGGGCAAGCCATAGTTCTGGCCATTGTTCCCTCTAAGGTGTGGAGTCTTGTGAGCAAAAATTCTACTTTCTGCGCTACTGGCATAAATAAATGTGAGCAGGCAATTTGGCTGCTGCATAAATTAGTTTGTTCTGGAGTCATCCTTCCTGAGCTAAGACAAGAGAGTGTAAACTGGAGGCTAAAAAACTGAGCTAGCTCACACTAACTCAGCTTAGAGGGAACACTGGTTCTGGCACAGCTGTTCTTGGAAAAGAGCAGTCTCTGTCAGAGCTCTCTCAGCCCCACCTACCTCACAGGGGGTCTGTTGTGGGGAGGGGAAGGGAAAGGAGATTGTAAGCCGCTTTTAGACTCCTTCGGGTAGTGAAGGGCGGGGTATAAGTCCAATCTCTTATCTTCTTCTTCTCTTCCTTGGCATTCTCTGTAGTGGTCCTTGAACCTGGTCTAGTCACACGGGGCCAACTACAACGATCGCCATCTGCACTTTATCGTTTGTATTTAATCTGTATTTTATATTTTATTGTTAGAATTTTATCTGTTTTTATTGTAAATTATTATTGTACGCCGCCTTGAGCCTGCTTGTCAGGCAAGGCGGGCTAGAAATCCAATTAAATAAATAAATAAAATGGCCTCCCTGATAAAGGTCAAAGAGGTGCCATCCTTACCTCTGTTCAGGGTGCCGCTTTGTCGAAGGATTTTTTTCCTTAGTCGTGCTGGAGGCTGCAGGAACGTATTGCGTTTGTTGAGGCAACGGTTTCTCCTGTTGGGACCGGCAAACAGGCTACTGTTGATTTCGTTCCTACACGTTGTTCTGACTTGGACTGTCATATCCCTTACGGTGTATGTTTTGTAAGCCTCGTACTTGGAGAGAAGGCAGAACATCAATGCTTGACAGCAGTAATCTTTCATTTGCTTATTTGAAGACGTCGACCTAGCGCGTCGGCTTTTAGACAAAATGATAAAACAATAATTGAAGTACATGAGGCAACAAAGAACTTTCAGCACTTTAGGAAAAAGTGAATATTTGGATACGTGCCTTAAAATATCAAAGAAAACAGTAATCAATGAATCCTTCCCTTGTAGCTGGTGGCAGAGTTCCTTCAAGAGCAGAATGGCCCTCTGCTCTCGCGTGCCCCGCAGACGTTCAAGATGGACGATCTGTTGGCTGAGATGCAGGAAATTGAACAGTCCAGTTTCCGGCAGGCCCCTCAGAGAGGTGAGAACTTAGTCTGAACAGGGTGCGAGTGGAGGATGGGGGGGAGAGGGATCAGTGGTTAGCCACCTTGTCTGTCGTCGTTTCTTGTTGTGACACGATGTGTCTTTCAGCAGGGAAGGGGGGAGCTTAATGGGTGTGGGGAGGAAGGTAGGAGAAGCAGGTTCTCCTGTGCGATGGTGGTGTTCTCATCTTCACACCCTCTCGTCAACACACCCTCTCTGTCCTCTTGTCTCCTCTTCCTCAGCTCCGGGGGTGGCGGCCCTGGCTCTGTCTGAGAACTGGGCCCAGGAGTTCCTTGACGCTGCTGACAGTACGGTTGACATTGCGACGGATTACAACGAAGCTGACTGGTCCCAGGAATTTATTGCGGAGGTTACAGGTGAGGCCGGGGGTTGCGGGCTGTCTGGCTCAAAGCTGTTATTCACAGTGCGAACTAGAGGAGCTGCGGTGGCTCAAGTGCTTAAGACGCTGAACTGCAGGCTGTGGAAGGTCGGTAGCTCAGCAGTTCGAGACCCGGGTGCCGCATGACGGAGTGAGCTCCCGTCTCTAGTTCCAGCTCCTGCCAACCTAGCAGTTCGAAAGCAAGAAAGTGCAAGTAGATAAATAGGTACCACTTCGGTGGGAAGGGAACAGCGTTCCGTGTGCCTTGGTGTTTAGTCATGCTGGCCACATGACCACGGAAACGTCTTCGGACAGCGCTGGCTCTTCGACTTGGAAACGGAGATGAGCACCGCAACCCTAGAGTCGGATTCAACTGGCTTTCAAGCAAGGGAACCTTTACCTTTACCTTTTACCTAACTAGAGTTAAGTGCATTGACTTCAGTGGACTTGGAAGGATTATAGTTCTGCTCAGGGTGGCACAGTCATTGTCTTTGCTTCCCTTAAGCAGGCCTTGGAGTGCATGAACACCCCTATCCACCACCTTTTCCGTGTACCCTGGTGGAGTCTGGAGAGAGCCAGTGTGGTGTAGCAGTTAGAGTGCGGGGCTAGGCTCTGGGAGACCCGGGTTCGAATTCCCACTCAGACACAGAAGCTCACAGGGTAACCTCGATCTGGTCACACACTCTTCATCTAAACCTACCTTACAGGGTTGTTGTGAGGATAAAATGGCGGAGAGGGGAATGCTGTTAACCACTTTGGGTCTCCATTGGGGAGAGCGGCGGGTTGTAAATAAAGGAAATAAATAAGGTGATACTGATGGTGGTGGTGGGGAGCCGGATCCTTGGCGGTATGAGTAGGTTCACCTTTCATTGCCCTTCTGCCTTTTTGTCAGTTTCTTTCTGAGAAACCTGATCTGTTCCTTGAATAAGCTGTTGCTGATCAGACATACTTTTACAGCACCTTTTTTCAAACATTCAGCATGTCCAGGGATATAGCTTGGTTTGATTTCTCAGCCTTTTCAGACTCTTGGAAGAAGAGAAGAGATTGGATTTATCCCCCGCCCTTCACTACCCAAAGGTGTCTCAGAGCGGCTTACAAACTCCTTTCCCTCCCCCTCCCCACAACAGACCCCCTGTGAGGTAGGTGGGGCTGAGAGAGCTCTGACAGAAACTGCTCTTTTTCAAGAACAGCTCTTATCAGAACTATGGCTTGCCCAAGGTCACACCAGCAGGTGCAAGTGGAGGAGTGGGGAATCAAACCCGGTTCTCCCAGATTAGAGTCCGCGCACTTAACCACTACACCAAACAGGACACCCTCCTGCCCCCCAGTATCCCACCTCAGTCCATGAATGCAACTTGAACCAGTTGTTTCTTGTTCTTCTGGCAGACTTCTCAAAGCCCCAATAGCCAAGGTGCTCTTGCCTTCGTGTTGGCTGGGTGGTATCATCCTCCTCGTCCTTTGGCCTTGCATTCCAGGTCCTTCTGATCCTTATGGCTTTCCTGCGACTTCCATTCCAGTGGCCGTTCATGCGTCTGAAAACATGAGACGCCAAACAGGGCCCAATTTTCTCAGGGGGAGGGCTAAACCAGTCCTCTTGGAGTCGTCCTATTCTGTGCTGGGTTTTGCTTTCGCTGTCCTTTGACCCAGCTGTGCAGTTCCGTTGGCAAATAAGGCACGCTGAAATTACTGGCCTTATTGAGTTACCGCCGATTTATTCTATTTTAAATGGAACTTCAGACCCCAGTGAACTTGGAGTGGGTCCAGGCCACTGTTCTTCTTGAGGTCTGCAGAAATTGCAATTTAAAAAAAATGACGATAGTCGAGCATTGTTCTCATACTTTCAGTCGCAAACCACCCTCGTTTCTCTGTGAGGGGTGTTAGTGGATAGTTCATGTCCGCCCCCTCCCCCCTCAGAAACGCACAAGTACTTCCCTCCCTCTGTTTCAATTATTCTCCGTTTCTGCAAAGATCCCTTGTCGGAATCGCCTGCCAAGTGGGCGGAGGAGTATTTGGAGCAGTCGGAGGAGAAGCTGTGGTTGGGAGAATCGGAAGACCAAACGCTGGCTGATAAATGGTAAGTTCTTTGGTTTCTCCCCACACCGGCAATGTTCCCTCTAAGCTGCAGAGCCTTGTGAGCAAAAATGCTACTTTGTGAGCTACGGGCATTAAAGTTGTGAGCGGGCGATTTGACTACTGCATAAATTAGTTTGCTCTGGAGCCCCATCCTTCCTGAGCAAACACAAAAATGTGTGAGCCGGAGGCTAAAAACCTGTGAGCTAGCTCACACTAACTCAGCTTAGAGGGAACACTGCACACCGGTATGGTGAGATGTAAAATGTGACTGGATCTCATTCTGATTCTAAAGCAGTTCTCTTCTCTCCCCCCCCCCCCCAACTATAGAATTGGTAGAAGGATCACTGAG